AATAATAATAGAATATTTATAAACCTTATGGGTTGGGATGACAAAAGTCAGTCTTGTCTTTTTATTCATTGTCTTAAAGGTGTTTAACAGGGAAGGACACTCAAGTTCTTCCTCAGCAAACTCCACAGCAACCGTGACTTTATGGTTGTAGCTCGTGCCCTTAGGTACAGTAGAGCTGGAACTGAAAAGGGTCTTTCCTAAAGTGTTTCCATAAAGTAGAAAGCAAAACGATTGGCAAACATGCTTCAAAAGCTGACGCAGTTGGACTGCTTTTTAGTTGAACTTTTCCCCCCGCCATTTTGACACATCAGCACTTGTGTTGAATTGAAATAATTGCTTTTTAGTTGAACTAAGGTTAATATGCCAAATCCAGGAAAACCACTTGTTAGCACTATCCTCTAGCTACAATTTTACCACATTTTTCCCCCGCCATTTTGACGCATCAGCACTTGTGTTGAATTGAAATAAACTGAAACAGGGAGCCTTAATTATTCAATCCACAAAACAGATTTCCAAGACTTGTGTATTCCAGTAGAAGCCAGTGCATCTTCTCACCACTCCATTACATGCTTGGCCTTGTGCTTGTTGATTCAAGCCTTGGCTGAATTTGCGTAGCCAGAGAAACTTAGGCCATGACGCTCCTAATGCACTGAGGAGTTTCTAGTCATGTTAATACAGAAGAGGAGGTGGAACTCCACAGTCAGTCACGTCAAACTTGTGGCTTTAACACTATAATCTAATCTTTATCGTATATTATAGTTAGTTATGCTATTTTGTTCCTCAAAGTTTTGAATTTCCAATGGGACTGTCATATAGAGATATGAATATTAATTAATGTACAATATATGATTTAAATGTAAATATTTTCCCTCAATGTAATGGTACAATGCAGCAGTGTTTTTTCTTTAAAAACAGCTTCGAAGATAGAACCAATAGTGTTTTTTTTCTTCTTTCAAAAAAAAAAAAAACAGCTTCGAAGATAGAACCAATAGTTTCAACAAAAATGTTACGGACCAGGATTAACGATATTAAAACAACACCAACCACAGCAAATGTCAACCAGACACTATAACAGCTTATGTAGCTCAGCAACTGCACAGACATGTCAACCTCCCAGTCATTGCCCAGGAAACCATACGTCAGCCTGTGGAGGTGAGACTACGAGGCTGTTGCTTCTCTTTTCTTTTTTTTTTTTTAACTGAGCTGACAGATGATATATGTTGTCTATGTGACCAATGCTCTTGTAAAGCTTCCTGTTGTAACAGGTTAATGCCTCGTCTGAGACACATCTGTAACGGTTAAGTGAGTTTTCCTTAGATAACATCAGCTTTATGAGGTTTAACTCCACACAGATAATGGTGTTTATAACCAACAGGGTTGTTGTCTGGACCAGAAATTATGACTGCACTTGTGCACATGTTGTTATCTTGAAACATGGGAATTGTAATATTGATGACAAACTTGATGGTAGTATATTACACTGCAGCCCCAGTGCGGGCTCTAGACGTGGACTCACACACTGGTTTCACCACTGGGATCTCAGCAGCATTTCTCATGATACTTTCATTACAACTCATTTAAAAGACAAGATCCTTTTTTTCCATGCTGTTATAAATGGACAAACTCAGCAGTTTAGGTCCTGCCTGTCTTTGAGCCATGAGCTGAATCTGACAGAGACTCAGGACCAAATGTTTGTTTTTTAATTGCTTTATAGGAAAACCAATGTAATTATATTTTCATACAGTAATTCAATAATTCGAAAAGTGTCTTAGGTTTACCATAATGACGGAAGCTAATAATGGTAATTTTATCATTTTGTATGAGGTTGGGTAACAAAACCATTCGAGGAATGCAGTAGAACCCAAACATACAGTATGGCCTCATGTCCTCCTTGCCCTCGCCTCTGCAGCATTCCAGTTAAAGACCTTATCTAGATTTTAGTCGGACAAACACTGCACTGCTTCTATGACAAGTGTGACTCTTACAGAAAGTAATGAGGATTAACAAGGCTAAATGTCTGTGAACTTAGCCACATGTAGCCACAGGAGTCTGCAGCGTTCACAACAGCCCACAGATTGTTGGATGGACACAACAACCCTTAAAGACAACAGAGCAAAGCCTGACTGACAGCATGTTAGTTTTGCTAAACTCATCTTTGTAGCAGCTCTGAGTTCTCATCATCCTGTTAGTGGTGCTGCAGGAAATGCCAAAGGGGAATTATAATCATAGAGGGCTTCCCCAAGAGAGCAAAAACATGTTCTACAATCTGAAGGCAAGATTGAAAGATATTTTGCATAAGAATATTTTAATCTAAAATTAGTAGGAATTGTGTCAAAAGCACTCTGAATGAAGTAATGGGAGGGGTTGAGGGTAGGGGGTGCATTTTCTCTGCCTACTGTACTTTGACTATGTTTTGTGTACGTCTTGTAGGGCTACCACAGCAAGGCAGTTTCAGATTGGATAAACAGCGTTATGTATAGTAATGCTGCACATCAGAGGATGAGGAGGAAAAACAAACAACTCTGCAGAAGAGTTGGTCAAGTAGTTAAAGCACAGCAGTATAATTAGCAAACAAAACCACAGTGAAACAGGAAGCAACACAATGTGTTACCATTGCACTTAGTGTTGGCCTCTTACAAAGCTGTTCTTGAAAAGCCACTGGTGCAGTTAACAATGTTTTGAACTTAACCAGTCTAAAAACATGGTGAGGTCACATCCTGTCACTTTCTGCAGGGCCTAAGACCACCACTACTCAATTTTTACATTTTCTTCACTAGCCAAGAAGCACTAGAACAACAAAATACTGACATCAGTTTTGTAGCTGTAGATTTACAATTACTTAGTGTTTACAATGAACATTTTGCATGTCCATGCCCTTCTCTGCATGCTAACACCACATGAAAAACCGTAAGTATATACAAAAGTTTTGGTCACATGGTGTTCAATTTTGTTGTTAGCTAACTCGCTAATACCTTACATTTGAACTAAAACCACCCTACATACTAACAGACAGGAAGAAGACAAATTTCCATGCAATCCTAGCACAGTCAGATGCACTGTGTATCTGGAAAGACAATCCATTCCTCTCCCAGGCATTCTAAAAATATATTGCTCCAACTATCTAAAATATTCTGTTCCTAGGAATTAACTATACCCCAGGATGAATCAGCAGTAATTCTGCTGCTGCTTTCTCTTTACATATTTACAGCACAATCTGAGTGAAGTATCTCATCAATGTGTAAAGTTTTTTTAAAAAATAAATCTGATAAATACTTTATTTATATAACATATATAACCGGTGGATTTAATCAATGACTGGTCTTGCACCAATAGCGTATGTCATATTCACACAGCCCTAGTGTGTGTACATGTGTGTGTAAGGGATAGAAATGAAGTAATCGCAGCAGCTCTTAAACCCTGTGAGTAACCTGTGAGGACAGTCGTGCTGCTATGGAGCTTTAAAAAGCAGCGCTAACGAGGATTAGCATCCAATTATAACACCTGACTGTAATCCTCCTATCACACAGTCAATGCTAAGCACACGCAAAGTTTCAAGCAAAGTTACCTAACAGTTTGGCTGACAAAATATTAGACAATGACATGAGGGACATCTTTTATAGGATTTTTCAGGATATGCCAGCGTGATATGAAAAAACAATTGTTAACAATTAACAGTTTTAATTTAAAATACTGTGATAAGATGTCCAGAAATTGACATTTACCAGGATTATAAAGAATAACTGTAAATGCCTAAGAAGTAAGTATTTATAAATGCAAAATGAATGTAAACATTTTCTGGTTTATGATTGCTCTGAAAATCCAGAATAACTTTGTGGACACATATCTGGAAGAACAAGTTCAAATCTGCCACAACAGATAGACTTAGAGACATGGTCAATGTTAAGATTTATATAGTATAATACTACTGAGAGAACTTTGATTCTAACACAACATAACACCAACCAACAACAAGGACAAAAACACCTAAGAAATGCGCAGGGGAAGACAAAAATGACAACACCGTCTATTCCTTTATGAACAAATAAAAAAAAAAAAAATCAAAGAGCAGGGGCTGATTCTGTAAGTACTATCTTTTTGTCTGCAGCAACTATTACATAATTCAGGCCTGATTCAGAAAGGTCACATGTTGTCGCTCTTGTCTGATTGTAATATCATCACTTGTTAAACATGTGATCCCAGGATGAAAGGTAAGAAATGAGAAAAACCATGAAAGGCATGGCTACATAGACGGACGGGTGGATAGAAAGATGGATGGATGAATGTTTTTTCGTGCCAGCTGCAGAGCTGTATGAGGATTCATCCCTCCATCCCTAGCCTTCCCCCAGTGATGTCATCAATTAAAGGGACACGACACTTAAACGTCAATTTTCATGTTCCGTCTCTACAGTCACAGAGACAAATATGGTTCAGACTGACACCATGTGAGAGCCAAAAAGAATGCAGGAACACATCCCAACAGCAGCTTAACAGGGAGGGAGATAATCGTGTGTGTGTACACATGTCTGTCTGTCTGGGTGTGTGTGTGTGTGTGTGTGTGAAGAAAGTGTTTCTGGGTGTATTATACAAAGACAATTTATACAAGTGAGCCAGCTGGGCACATAAGCCCTCCTGAACAATAAATCCAAATAATCCTTTACGATGGGAAGCAGAAGCAGGGGGCTAAGGGTCCGGAGGGGGGTTCTGAGACATATGCGCACACACTCACAAAAGGTACACATGGTTCAATTAGCCTCGCCATTGTGCCTCTGTGGACAGACATGCAGTGGCTGTGCCCTTTTCCTAGTAATAACACGCAAGTCCCTGGAATGTATGCACTGAAAATAGCATGGCAGCTAACGGTATCTGAACCTGGCAAGGAGACACACAGACATGTCTATGCATACTGTACATACAAACATGCATGCAATAGTCCGACACAGGACGAGCACTTAAAGGAGCATTACACTGAATAAAATTGAATTAAAAAGAACTCAGCTTACCTTCCATCATCTTTGCAGATTTGCATTCCTCTATCTCCAAGGATCCTGAAGTGAAAGGAGGTAGTCAGGGGAAGGGGAGATAGAGAAGAAGCCCCTGGTTAGCAGAGATACAGTAGATATGATGGGAAGCACAGCAGCTGTGTGTGTGTCTGTGGGGAAGGAGTGGCTAACGCCCTGGCTAACAGTGGTGTACGATGCCTGTCATAAGCCCAAGAGGAAGAGATGAAGGGAGATAGAGATGGAGTCAGAGAGAGAGAGAGAGAGAGAGAGAGTGAGAGATAGAGAGAGCACAGAGGGGGGGGGGGGCAGAGAGGGGAAGGGAGGAAGAGGGTCCTGGCCTGGTTAGCTGCCGATCAGAGCCTTAAGCCATGGATGCTCCAACTGTGCTGCTGCAGCTCTAACCTACACATCCAGCCTAAAGATGCTGAGAGGTGGGAAAAGGCTGAGTAGATGAATAAATAAATAAATAAATAAAGAGAGGAGGCAGGGTAAAGTGATGGAGAGAGGCGGGGTGACTCAAACAGGGAGGGTGGGTTTTGTTTGCCCGTGTGTGTGCATGTATGTTTAAGTGTGCGTGTGTGTGTTTGGGAAGGTTGGGTGGGGGGTTGGGGGTGTGGAGGGTGTTTGGCTGAGGTCACGAACGGCGTCAGCCAATCCCTGCGCGTCCTGGTGGAGTCACATGGCTCTTACAGCTTCAGTCTCCTGACAGTAATGTCCCAGCAGACAGCGCTGCCGTGTTAGTGACCTCTCTGTTTTTTCCTTCGACAAATAACTGTGCAAATGCACACATTTACATTTACTCTCTCACGCGCACACACACAAACAAGGAAAAAACGGACCTTTACAAACTACATAAAAAGAATACACACGCTACACAAACACACCTCCGTGCCCCCCCTCCTTCCCTCTTTCTCCATACCTTCTGTCAGTGCAGTGCTGCTGAGTCTAAACCGCCGGCCAGTGACATTAATGAAACACCGGAGGAGAGAATGACGTGCAGGTGTGCGACAACACGTCAGCGCTCATGCCGACCACCATCACACACACACACGCCACTGCTCTCACCGTTTGCACTGGTCTCTGTCTTCCTTCACAATGACTGTTCCTGCTGTTACTAACTGCCAGGCTGCGTCGGTTTGGTTTGTTTCGGTCGCGCTATCGTGTCTCCTCCTCTCACACTCCGCCCGCCTTCTCCTCCTCCACCTCCTCCTCCTCCCACTGCTCCTCCACCTCGTTGTCTCCCAGTCTATTTAAGACCTGCGATTTATTTCGAGCGTTGTCCGCGTTTTCCCACTACACCCGTGAGTGGCATCGATCCGTAATCGTCATGAAATTGCGACAACCAAACAACAACAGCATGTTACTGTAATACCCAACAAATCAAATTGAGATGGAAAATTAAAAAAGTTACAAACAAATATTGAAAAATAGTACCTTCATAACATCGTATACAGGGCCACGTGGTGTTGTTTAAATTAAAAATATAAATTAACAGAACACGTTCTCTAGAGGCAAAATGTGTTTTTAATTCGACTTGACATGCCGTTAGGCCAAAGTAATGGAACACAGAAATCGAACACCTTACAGTGATAAATAAATAACCTACAACTGAGTCTGTAGAGCACAGGGACAAAAAACTATTTCTTTTCAACGTAACCATAAATCAGTTGGTTATAAATCAACCAGACTGAACCAGGTGCTGCTAAATTGTCCCTGAATCATTCAGTGTCAGTCATTGTAGTCCTGATTTCTCAGCTTTTCTTCTTTTCTTTCACCTATTTTGTCAAGCTGCCGCCATTGTGGCTCATTGTATATTTCACCTCCTCCTTTTTTCACCCCTCTCTTTTTCATTGCCCAGCTCCTGTGTGTTTACAGCCAGCAGATGCTCCCAATGAGAGGATCCCCTCCCTTCAACCAGGCCCCATGATTGAACCCCCGTCCCTGTTGTTTCCCCCCATTCATCCCTCCTTGTGTTTGTGTTGACTTGCCATCCATTGGTTGCAAAACAAACGATATCTTTCACTCTACTGCCATCTAGTGTACAAAGGAGAACTCTAAACAACACTGCTAAATTCGAGGCATTGCAGCTTAAGGGGGTTACATATTGACTGTGAAGTATTGCACGTTAAATATTGTACGTGACGTGCCTTTCACGACCACGGTGATTTGGACTTTTACATATAAACATTCAGAAGCACGTGTTTGTGATTATCCAGCTGACTAATGATAGCCTGCCAGCTAGTGGAGGAGTGTAAAATAAGAGAGGAGGAACAAGAGCAGGAGGATTTGCTAAATAAAGTGTTTTGCTCATGAGCCCAGTTTTGTAGGTGTAGCTGAATAAGGATAAACAATAGTGTCTTTAAAATAAAGAGGAAAATCTAATTGAAGGCTAACATCTGCTGTGTGCTTCTGTCCCACGGATATTTCTGCCATTAATAATATTGTTCCTCCCTCTGAGGGTGAATCGAGCAGGTGTTGTGACACTTGCTCTTCTGTAGTATAGTATATAATATAACTTATACATATAATCATGTGTAATGTTTTGGGGAAATATGTAAATATATTTTATATTTAAATGGGATTTTTAAAATTAATTTATATGAATTGTTTTCTTTATACTATGAATCAAATAAAATAAATGCTTCAAGCTTCTTTTTTTAAAGCTTCATACATTGTATGACACAAAGTAACTTTACTGCGTTCAGACACACTGATAGTAATTCCCTATTAAACCGTCACTGTTAAAAAAAAAATGTCTATAATAGTAAATTGTTTGCACTGTAATGTGGCCTGGTTAGTGAAGGTGACTTAAAGAAAGTAAAATTGTTATTTGATTTTACATAAAAAATAATTCATCTTCTGTTAATTTGTGGTGTTGTTTCTGCCTCACAACTTTCTTCTTTACTCTCACATTTTACTTTTAAATGTAACGACAGTAAAACAATGTTTCGACATCAGAAAGAACACAGAGTGACGATGCAAACAGACAGACTCCGACCTATCCTTAGATATTGGTAGCAACACACACTGTGAAGGTTGACTGGAAAGTTGAAGGTGAAGAAATGACAAATCCCAGCAAACAAGCAGGACCCAGTGAGTGAAAGCTAGTTTAGGCTCACGTCTTCTTCTCTGTGCTGAGATGTCATCAGTATAGAGGTCAAGAAAGGTGTTCCATCTACTGTACCTGCAATGATGCGAAACCAGCCCGTACACAGCTCCTCAGCCATTAATGGCTCTCTCCATGGAGCCCGTGCCCTCGCTCCAGCCCGTCAGCGGGATGAGACGTGAGAAAAACAAACAGAAGACAGAGGCAGTCTGGTGAAAAAAAAAAAAAAGGAGAGGAGGGAAACGAATGTGACCAGTAACCTAGGATGCTGCCTGAAAGACTTGCTCAGAGGACACACACAGATGCAGACACCTGCCCACACTGTGCATTTACAAGTGTCCACATATAGACTGGTGTAGAATACCAATGTGGATAACCACAAGTGCAGACAAATTGGAAAATGAAGGTCAACTCCCCCTCGTCTTTGTCAGCGTGGTATTCGTTACCATCCAATCTTGACCAAAATGTTCAGCTTAGAACGTGAAAATGTCATTCACAGCTTCTTCCTCCATCAGGGGTCGCCACAGCCTCTACATGATAATGAATTTAATTCATTCACATGAAGCAAAAAAAGCCGATAAGGTTCTGCATTTCCGCCTGACAAGAATTCTAAATATACTCTTAAAATAAATCCAAAGGTCTTACTTATGAAATATTAAAATATTTCAGAGGTAAAAAAAAAAGCCATTTAAAATTATAACGGTTTTGGAAAAGCTGTATGATACACATAAACAGAAATTAACTACATTAACAGCTTGTTGTTGACGATGTCTTGCCATTTGGCTAGCTCAGTTTAAACCACAAACCTACAGCAAGAATCGAATAACTCTTTAACAAACAACTCTCGGTACACACGTATGTACTAAACTGTTGTCACGGGGCTATTAAAACACAACTATCACAACTTTGTCCAACTGACCTGTTGTCTAATCTGCACGACCACAGTCTTCTCTAGTCAGGGCACGAACGGGGGACGACTGTGTCCACTACCTGTCCTTTGCTGATGTCCAAGCTATCGCTTCCTTGACTCTTCATCCACAGTAAGTCATCTAACCTTAGTGTAGCTCTCTGAGGATATATTATAAGTACACGTTTGTGTGATTTAACTATGACGAAGTTATTGACCGTTAGTCAAAAGCACGTATGGCTCCATCTGCTGTTACGTTCTAAAAATTGCACGTTGGTATCATATGCGACAATGAGTGATTATATCTATGACGAAAGTTCAACTGTATCACGAGTTATTTGTCACTCAACCCTCAGAAAATGATTGGACCTAAAACTACAGCACACTTGTAAAAATTTTCTTTACGGACAACTAGTTAAGATAGTTAGATAAAGAGGGACACTAATCAGGGTGTTTCTAGGTGGAAATAATTTCCATTTACGGTTGACCCAGCAGGTGGCAGCAGTGTATCTGAAAGGATGCAAAGCTGCTGTTAACAACAACAGATGGCTGGCTCTAGCATCTAAAGGTCAGTTGTTCCACATGAATAGTGCCAGTCATTTCTGGTTTTAAGTCTGTTTTTTTTACAGTGGTTTTATTGTAAATGGTGATTTGTGGCACCACCTGCAGGGCATAATACGTCAGTCCAGTGCTCTCTGCAAACAGAATACAGGAATAATTATCAGATTAGACTTCATATTTAAATATAGGAGCAACGCTTTGACCAGTGAACACAGATTATGTCTGTGTGTCCATCATGACATAACAACACATATCACTTAATACTTAAAAATAGAATGTTGCTGAGGCTGCTGTATCTTTGAAAACAGGTCCCCAGTTGCCACACATCCACACATCCACAGACAAACACAAACACATGTAAAGTATAGTCTTCTTTCAAAGGCAGAGCGCACAAAGCAGTAGAAACGTCTCTTGTTCCCTCTCATCCTCTACCTTGCGTGTCTCCCCCTGAACACCCACTCACATCCAATCCTCCTCCACCTCCCTCCCCATTTATGACCTATTTTTTCCTCCACCTTTGTTCATGCTTCTTGCCTGTGGAGAGCAGTGTTGCTCCAGTTTGATTTTTTTTCTTCCTGTGGCATCTCTCTGCATCTGTTCTGCAGGGCCAGACCTGTTTCCACCGCCTGCATAAATTTAGAAACAGCGCAAATTAAAACGGGTCATCAATCTGTTGCTGTATGAATGAATACAGTTATAAAGAGGATAGGCTACACTTAGCAGCTGCGGATGACAAGCATGCTGCTACCATCAGGAGCCACTGGGAGATGGGGAGATGGTGCGGAGACGCCACTTCAGGTGCCTGCATCACTGATCATTTGTTAAAGCTGTTCTAGTTCCATCCACTATCACCAAATACAACAGAAATAGCAGCGTTGCACGGCATGAGCTCTTCCCTCACTGGAGCTGAGTTTGGAACAATGAATCGATCCACGTGAGATTTTAACCTTGTCTTAATTGGGACAGATTACACAGAACTGCCATTTTTCAGGGTATTGGTATCTTTTTACCTCTGGAGTTGTCGACCTACTCCTCAAGTGCCGGGTAGGAAAACTAGTGAGTGTTAAATAATCTGCAGCTCTGCAGCATCAAAAAGCAGATGATTAGAATAATTCCACACCACCCTCAATGGGTGCAGTGACTCACGACCATTTGAAGGTAAACTCACAGAAACCAGCAAGGAACACTTTAATTAGACAATAAGGAACACAAGGAACAGAACCTGCAGCTGTGTCGTAAAGGAACATCCGTTCTTTAACTTTGTATTTTTTTTCTGTTATTTAAAGCAAATTCACACAAACACTGTTAAAACCGACTGATAATCAAATAAAATGAATTATCTTCTGTGGTATTCCTTAAAAAATACATGAAATTAATTTACATTCTGTCCCAATGTAATTTAACTTGACACTCTAAGTGGTAAGAAAACTTATACCCCGTGGTTTTCTATACTACACAGATATACGGTCATGAACTTTTGAACTTGTCCCATTTTTCTGATTCAAGGCATTCCTCCCACATCACAGTCAGAAAATAGATGCAGACATGCAGACAGAGGGTATTTGCCTCCCAGTGAATGTCATCACTATCCTGGCACAACCCTGGGCTCACGCTGCCACTGGCACGTCCCAGGGCCTGCTGCCATTTCCTGCACACTGGCTAAAGCAACATCCCAGCAAACCTCGCCCGATTTCATCCCTCCTCACTCCCCCCCAAAGTGCCCTGATGAGGGACGATGATTAGATGGCAGTCATTAAATGCTCGCAGACAAACACCCACCCACCGATTAGGCTGCAGTGAGTGCAGTCAAACCAAAACAACATTCCACTCCGCAGCAGGGGAAGGCATATGGAGCGATAAGACGTGGCAGAGGCAGGGGGGCCGGGGGGGGGGGGGGGGGGCTGGTAATACTTTGTGTCCTGGAACTTTCTGCCAGACACGTTCTTCTGCCGCTTCACAGCCTGCTGCCATTTTTTTTTTCAGGAGGCCACACACAGAGGAATACAGTGGATACATCCTAGTGCAGATGACGTCGTTGTCACCAAGAGTTATGATTGGATGATGCTCAGGTGGAGTTGACCTGTTTAGACTGTATGGAAGGTGCTGTGTTGTTAGGGCTTAAAAACCAAATGCATACGAAGCACACAACAGGATACAACGATGACACGATTCGACAAATGTATAGTTTCTCTTTTAATCTTAGCATTTCAGAGCTGGAACAATTGAGAAAATGAAAAAATCAAGTCAAGACCAGACCAAGATTTTTATACGCTCAATTCCTAATACTTTCTACAACAACATGACGTCCATGTACTGTAGCCTCAGTGTCTTTTTTCTCCCATAATATAAAAAAAAAAGTTAAAAATAGTGAACATCAAGCAAACATTAGAGATCATCATTTGGTAAGACTATGGGTTAATTTAGTCTTAAATAGTCCGTAAACCTGCTTTAGAACGTTCCAGTTTGGTTCATTTTGCCCCAGTGGAGAAAAAAACATCATATTTCTCTAGCCTTAAATGCCATGTTTATCATCTAATATCCTCGACTCTACAACAGTGAGACCCGTGGCCTGGTTTGTTCCCGACTCAAGATCACAGAGAGCCCTGACATGTGTGAGCAGGTGCAGGGCTGGTTCAGTTCTACCTGCAGACCTATTTTTATAGATATTTTTATGCTCTTAAAATAAAATAAAAATAAAAAATGTTGGCTAAAAATTGAGAATCCACTGTCCTATCCTGGAAAATAAAAGCAACTAGTTTATTTAGGGGGCTAAAGTAGATACAAGCTAACTGAAGAACGTTTCCAGGTGTGTGGCTTTGTTTACTGTTCTGAGAAGACGTGAAGAGTTCGAATTAGTCAGAGAACAGAAATGAGCAGAAGCTGAACTGTAATCCCAAAGACTTGGAGAACAGAAATGAACAGAAGCTGAACTGTAATCCCAAAGACTGTCATTCTAGATTGTTCTTTCATCTAAAAGTCAGTTCAGAGTCAAGATTCCGTTAGCCTCCTCTGATAGCCCGTCTTTAGAAGAGTTGGTGGAAAAGATGAGCTCATCCCTCTGATACTGTACAGTTGTGCTCGGCTCGGCTCGGCTCTGCGGTCTCCCTAATGGTCTCCAGGATGTCAGGCCACTATGTCCCTCCTTCTCAAACCAATTACCATGTCCACACAGAGCCCGAGCCTAAATAAACAGAGCCTGAACGAGCTATACAATCAGCTTATATCTATAAACAGTGGAGCAGTCAAAATTAGGGCCCTCCCAAGAGCACTGGCCTTTGCTTGGACAGCCAGGCTGAGACGATGACAGAATGGAGCCAGATGAACTCACTGTGGGGAGTTTCAAGGGGAAGGATTTAAAAATATATACTGTACACAGTGTATACAGCACTAGCCTGACTGTGATTTCAAATTTAAACACATTGATGACACCTTAATAGCCACATTTAGGTCAGTGTCAATGAAAGAGAGAAGAGCTTGAGTGTGACCTGAATTGCTCACACAGGAAAACCCCACTGTTGATTCAGGGACGAGAAGAAAAGCGAAAGACAAACGCTTCATTCCTGCACTGCTGTATCCCACTGGACACCCACAAGGTTCTTTTTAAAAATAATCTGTGTATATGTGTGTGTGTATGAGTGTTTGCACGCACCATGACGTGATGTACCAGTAGGAGTTTGGAGAGGCCTCCCAATGACGCACTCAAAACTGAAGCAATAATTTACAAGGTGGCCTGAAATAGAAGGGCACGTTGTGGAGAGTTTGTTTGACAGTGTTTCAGAGCGGCGTGAGAGGATTAACCTGGCTCTGGACACACACTCTGTGATGAGGCAGAGTCAAGGTCACACTGTTGAATGCACTGTACATGTGGTCGTGTGAGTGGAGCTCAGACATGACTCACAGCCGTGATGGATGGTTTGATTGTTTTAAAGTTCTATTCAGAAGATGGAGCAAAAATATTCTCTGGAATTGTTCCCTAATGAAAACTTATAAATAGTCCTTTGGTTTACCAGTATTGGTACTGATTTTGATTTGACACAAACCTATGTCAATTTGAAACTCCCTAAACACAGAAGCTATAACACAATCTTTAAAAATTTGAATAAAAAAACATACCTCAGAGCATTAAAAAGTTCTGATCAGTTCTCAGTGTGCACTTTCTTATTCTTTGTTGGCTTGTACACTGCATTCCACGCTCTTTTTTCGGTTTCCGCAAATAAATGGAAAATCACACAGCCACACCAGTGACCCCTGTTATCCTTTGATGTAAAATGATCAAAGAACGGGCCATCATTTTAACATTTTACTCAGACGCCGTAGCTCATCTCAGTTTCTGTTTCTGTTTTTTCAAAAGGCAAACTCATACTCTATCTGCTTTTCTAATAGTCTCCCTGTGGCA